AAATACCCTATATATTATAGTAGGATTAGTAATCTATTATATACTAAATATAGTAAGAAGAATTAGAAGATAATAGTTAGTAGGAAGTAATACCTTTCTTTTAATAATAAGAATAAAGACCCTTTTTTATAGTCTAAGGATTAAAAAGGATAGAATATAATAAAGCCTTATACTATTTAGACTTTTAAGAATATAGTTTTAATCTCTACTTAATAATATAATTAGTAAATATAATAGACTATAATAATATAAAAGAGAAAACTACTGGAAAACTACCTACTACCTAGGTGGCCTATTTTAATAGCCTTAAGGATAAGACTACTAAGGGAGGAGTATTATATTATAAATACTATAAGATATATAAGTAGGGCTAAATAAAGTAAAGTAAAGGCTTATTATATTAGCTATTAAAAAGGATAAGAGATTATATAATCTCCTTAGGATTAAAGACTTAAGCTATTAAGCTATTAATCTAAGAATAGGATCTAAAGGATTAGGATTAAAGGTTAAGCCTTAATCTAGAGTTATAGTAAAGAGGTAGATAAGTACTTAAGGAGGAGGTATTCTTATAGCTAAGTAGTCTAGATCTCTACTAATTAATCTAAGTAATAGTTCTACTATTAGGAGATATCTCTAAATGTGACTTACACTATAATAACTACTTATATACACTTATACATTTAAACCGACTCTCTACTTAAGAAACAGACTAACTATAGATTAGGATTAAGCCATTATTACACTGGCTGACTGGCTGGTTGACTGGCTGGCTGACTAGGTAGTTGGTTGACCTTCTAGTTGACTGGCTGGTTAGCTAGTTAACGTTTTGCTATAGGCTTTATAGGATAAAGCATCTGCAGCGCACCCGCAATAAAGCATCCGTTTTCTACCGCTTTTTACCCCGCTTACGGTTGGGCTCTGGGCCGTTCGACTTGGGATCTACTATGTGCCCATAGACCCCAGGGTGTGGCCAGCGCAGTTACTGCGACCAAGCTTGAGGGCAGCAGCCCGAAGAACCGGAAGACTAAGGCTAGCACCTCTAAAGTAGCCTAAGATAAGGACGTAAAAGAAGAATAGAAGGATAAGGTTATTAACTTTACTATAATAGTAGTTTAATTCTAATCTATAGTTAGTCTATTTCTTAGAAAGAGAGTTAGTTTAAATATATAGAGTACTAATAAGTAGTTATTATAGTATAAATTATATTAAAAGACTATCTTTTAATAATAGAATTATTATTTAAATAAATTAATAAAGATTTAGTCTAATGATTTATTAGAAATTCTTTCTTATATATTTATTCTATTTTATATATTTATTCTATTTTATATATTTATTCTATTTTATAT